AGAACTTTCAATAATTGACCTTGAGAAGTCATGTTAGTAATCTTACTGCTTCTCAATCATTTATATTCAATAGGCATTTATTAAGTGCCTACTCTATGTCTCCCCCCATTAAATTTATATCAAATGAACTTTTATTGATTTCCTTTAATAAATGAGGAATTATTTGGTCCCACTCAGTTCATGGGTGAAATGTAGTCCATCACATTAAAATTTCCTTTACCTAATGGGAACTAGGAACATAAGGTATATAAAAGTAGGCTTTTTTGGCATCACTTTTGTTAGTCCTAAATTAGTCTTTTTTTCTTTGAATGTATTTGCTTCAGAAGTGAGCACAGTACTTAATTAGCCTTTCAAACTATTAGTATTATTTCAAAATTTTCATTATCTGTATTCGCTTTAAGATCTTTCAGGCATGATTTTTATTTTTAGACATTTTGGTGTGACTCAAAAAGAAGTGTCAATATGCAGATTCATATTTGGGGGAAAAAAAGCCCATGTTATATCATAACTGTGAAGAACACTACCTTAAGTGTTAATCTCTTCATGGAGAATGGGAGTGTCAGTTATAACTTGCAAAGATGGGAAAGAAATAGAAATTCTAGATTGGTGATGAGTTTTTAAAGTTTTAAAGAATGTTCCCAGAGAGTTGTTTTTCTTCTTGAGATGAGTATGTCCATACATCTCTTACTCAGGGCAAGTCTCACCTTGAACCTATCTCAAGAAACAAAGAACATGTTCTAGAAAGGCAGAACCTTGCTTTTGTCCTGGATTCTACCTTACCTCTCACATATTCAACCAGTTACTAATTTCTGTTGATTCTGTCTCTTCTTGCATCCATCTGCTCTCTATTTCTACTGCTGCCACCTTAATAGAAGCCTTCATTATCGCTTGCCTGGACCATTACAGTATCTTCCTGATTGGACTTCCTACCTCTTTTCTCAGGGAGGCTAGGTGAAATAATGCATAAAATGCTGGTCCTGGAGTCAGGAGGACCTGAGTTCAAATCTGGCCTCAGATACTTACTAGCTGTATGACCTTGGGCAAGTCACTTAACTCTGTTTCCCTCAGTTTCCTCATCTGTAAAATGAACTGGAGAAGGAAATGGCAAACCATTCTAGTATCTTTGCAAAGAACACCCCCAAAATGGGGTCACAAAGAGTTGGATATGACTAATTGACAAAAACAACAAAAAATCCCCTTTTCTCCATAGAGCTGGTTATGTCATGTCTCTGGTCAAAAATCCTAAATAGCTTCCTGTTATTTCCCAGATAAAATTTTAAGTCCTTTGCCTCATATTTAAGGCCCTCCACGATTTAATATCAACCTACCTGTCTAGTTTGACCCATATTACTGCCTTCCTTGTAGTCTATGATTTAACCAAACTAAACTTATCTCTGTCCTTTGAACATGATGGCCTTGGCCCATATTGTTCCCCATATTTGTAATGTGTCTTTCTCTCACTGTGTTTCTCTCACTATATCTTTCTCTACCTCTCCATCTTTCTATCTCTCTTAATGTTTCTTTCCCTGTTTGTACAACAAAGCGAATATCCAGGAAGCCAGTACCTTGTTATCATTGGCAGTGTCTTCCCCATATGAGCAGACAGGCCATAAACTGCCCAAACAGTCCATGTCATTGCTAATCTCAAGTGACTTCTTTTCTTCTATTTCCTTACATTGTACAGGAATGTTCTACAAGTAGAACAACATTTTTCCCCCTTTACACAACTGTTTCACATCAGGTTCATTCACTCTCAGGTCATAATCCACCTCATTTGGCAATCAAAAATAATGAACGCCACACCAAAAAACAAAAAGGAAACCATGACTTCCACCAGTCACTGCATAGGCAAATATTCCTGCGCAGTTTTCTGTAACGTGAAGGTAAATGTTTGAATAATAATAATAGGATTTATATAGCACCTACCATGTGCCAGGCACCATGCTAAGTGCTTTACAAATATTATCTCACTTGATCCTCACAATAACCCTGGAAGAGGTAGATGCTACTATTATTATACCCATTTTACAGTTGAGGAAACTGAGGCAAACAGAGGTTAAGTGACTTGCCCAAAGTCACATGACTAATAAGTATGTTAAGTAGAATGGGAACAGAGTTCTATCCAGGACACCACCAAGTTATGCATGTGTATATATTCCCTGTTTCTATGTCCCTTTGCCTGTCTGTCTCTCTGCCTCTTACTCTCTTTCTTTTCATTGGATGAATTTCTATGTGTCCATCTTCTAAAATCCATTTCAGATGTGTAACCTTCCTTGGTCTGTCTTCCCTTCTTAACAATCTGTAACAACCTCATGGAATAGTTTCATAGCTCACTAATGCATCTATCATATAATATTTTGTATCAATATTTCTGTTTTATCCTTCTATTAGACTGTAAGCTCCAGAAAGGCAGGAATCACATCTTAACTCTATCTTTCTCAATGCCACAGTATCCTGCACAAAGTATATACTTAATGAATACCTGTTGTTCCTATCTTGTTCTGAGTCAGGTTTATATGATCCAAGAAAGGAGACTTGCCTAGGTTTTAGAGATATGTTAAATTTTGTGCCACACAGGAGCCTTGTTCTTCCTTGTTTTGTAGTGAATTTAGAGTAATGTGGCTCAGTTCAAGAGTCCATGTAACATGATCTCATTATCAGGTAATTTTGAGCTCAGTGGCATAGATACAAGGGCAGTGTTAAGGCAGCAAAGATAGCAGGTTGCTTCCTTGCAATCCATTGCAGAAAATCAACCCAGTCTTCAAGATTGAGTGTGGAAATAAATTTAGACTTTAGAATTCAATTGAAAACTTCATTTTAATTTATAATTCCCATCTCCAGTCTCCTGTGGGTGTTGGTGCTTTTGGAGGCAAGCCTCAAGAATGACGCTGATATGACATTTAAATTGCTAATTTTGAAATAGCTTCTTGGCTGTTAGTTTTTAAAAGGATAATTGTAATATCTTAATGTAACATTATCATCTAGATGATCTATGGAACATAACCAGGTCTAAAAGATTGGAGCTTATCTGAAAGAAGAGGTTTCCTTCTCTTCCACTTATATTATATAATTGGATTCTTAATTAAAATGATTTTGAAAAGCTAGTCATTTCATTCTGAAAAATCCTTGTACCAGAGTGAGTACAACTCAAACAGAAGCATCATGGGTATATAAACTTTCACCTTAATGTTACAGAATATCAGAATTCAGTGGATATATATGTATGTGTATATATACATTTAAAATACACCTCTATGTATGCATGTGCACACATGTATAGGCCTATACATATAGGCATACATATATAGATCACATGTATTTATGTATACATACATGCATACATGCACATATACATACATACACACATGCATAACTTGGTGGTATTCTGGATAGAACTCTGTTCCCATTCTACTTAAGATACTTATTAGTCATGTGACCTTGGGCAAGTCACTTAACCTCTGTTTGCCTCAGTTTCCTCAACTATAAAATGGGTATAATAATAGTAGCATCTACCTCTTCCAGGGATATTGTAAGGATCAAGTGAGATAATATTTGTAAAGCACTTAGCATGGTGCCTGGCACATGGTAGGTGCTCTATAAATCCTATTATTATTATTCAAACATTTACCTTCACGTTACAGAAAACTGCGCAGGAATATTTGCCTATGCAGTGACTGGTGGAAGTCATGGTTTCCTTTTTGTTTTTTGGTGTGGCGTTCATTATTTTTGATTGCCAAATGAGGTGGATTATGACCTGAGAGTGAATGAACCTGATGTGAAACAGTTGTGTAAAGGGGGAAAAATGTTGTTCTACTTGTAGAACATTCCTGTACAATGTAAGGAAATAGAAGAAAAGAAGTCACTTGAGATTAGCAATGACATGGACTGTTTGGGCAGTTTATGGCCTGTCTGCTCATATGGGGAAGACATTGCTACTAACACCAAGGTACTGGCTTGCCGGACATTGGTTTTGTTGTACAGACATAGAAGATAGCCTTGTGCCCTGGACAGCTGTCTTGCAAATGTATGCCATTGGCCAAATGTGGATGGCTCAGTGAGAACCTATTACTACTAGAAAAATAACTCAAAATGTACTTCTTATTGATGGCGAACCAAGAATGTTTCACCATTTAGTACTACTACTGGTAGAGAGAGAAGGACAGGTTGTGTGATTTTATTGGTATAGATAGGAGGGAAACAAGCATTTATTAAACACCTGCAATATCCCAGGCATTGTGCTAAGCCCTTTACAAATATTATCTTATTTAATCCTTACAACAACTCTCTGAGATAGGTGCTGTTATTATCCCCATTTTATAGTTGAGGAAACTGAGGCAGACAGAAGTTAAGTGACTTGCCTAGGGTCATATAGCTAGTAAGAATCTAAGGCAGAATTGGAACTCAGTACTTCCTGATTCCAGGAGCATCACGCTATCCACTGTACTACTTTGCTGTGTTTCTTGGGAACTCCCAGATAAAGAAACTGCCTTTAACAATGCAAGACAGCACATTCTCTATAACTTGCGGTCTTAGAGAGTGGACACCAATGCTGAGAGATTGTGAATTGTCCAGAGTTAGACAGTTATCATTGCCAGAGGAGGCAGGACTTGAACCCAGGACTTCTTGGTTTCAAGGCCTGTTCTCCATCTACTACAGTCAGTGGTGTCAAACTCAGAGAAAGGGATCCCTGGGAGCTCCATATTGACTTAGAATGCCACAAATTAACAGTATCTGTGTTGCATTTTTATTTATTTTGTTAAACATTTCCCAATTATATTTTAATACGGTTGGGTGGCATTGAGTGCAGGCTGAGAGTCTGATGCCTCTGCATTACATGATGCCTTATCCCAAGTATCTTGATATGCTTTAAGAGAACATCCAGTTTGGCAATAGCTTTATGTTAGCTAACTCCATGGCTTTCAGTACTATAAACAGGTAAGGTTTTCTTTTTTTCCTAAAAAAAAAAATGTGGAAAATAACATTTCTGTAATTTAATGCAGGTGACTTGGGTGAAAGGGGTGAGAGAGGACCTCCCGGAAGAGGACCCAAAGGCTTGCCAGGATCAATTGGTCTCCCAGGTAAAAATATGGGGATGAGAACAATTCTTTTCATTATATAAACGATATGTGCCTACTACACAAAAATGTTTCTCTGGTATAATGTGTAAAAATGTGTATCTCTTAGTTTAAACTATTTGAAATACATGAAAGACATTAAGAACGTCTAATGTCAATGCAACGCCAAAAAAAAGAAAGGAAAGAAAAAGGGGGTGAGGGAGAATGTAGACTAATAGCCCATTAATTCAGATAAATTGGGGAAAGGGCAATCAATTAGTACAAAGTCTGAATTAGAGGTCGTTTAAAAATATATGCCATTTTAATACTTAATTCTGTAAAGTAACACAAACTATTAACTAAAAGGTTTTCTCTGTAACCTACTTAAATGAATAGAGGTCTGTAATTGACAGTCACTGTGGGTGCAAAATAATAATAGCCCACATTTATATAATGAAGAAGCTGTAGCAGGCTCAGCAGCCACACCACACAGTAAAACTGTCTCAGCAGACAGGACAACAAAAGGTTGAGGGTAATGGACAGATCTCATACTGGTCAGTGAGTTAGGGGGATGTTTATTCCAAGCAGGTGAAGACTTCCCCTGGTGAAATGGGTGGATGAGAACAATTTGTTCCAAAAGCCATGAAGACAGCTGAAGCAGGCTCTGTGGAGTGCTTAGAGCTTGGTCAGACATTGAAGATGCCAAGGTCATCCACTGCATCCCAGTTGTCTTAACTTTTGTCCTGCTACTAAACTTCAATGGCACTGGAGTACAGTGAGGCTGATGACTTTGCACAACTTTGCCTCACTTAAATCCAATTCTCTCACAAGTCAACACATCACCCATCATCCACTATTTTACCCCAACATCATGATGTCCTCTTTGAAAACAAAGGATGAACAACAACATAAATTCTCTCAACTGGGTCTCTCGCAACAAATCTTTGAGGTAGTTGTCATAATTATTTATAATCTATAGGTAAGGAAACTGAGGACCAGAAGTTTAGCCTTTTTTACTACAAAATGTGTTAATTTCTCCACTATAATTCTACCTCCCCCCAACAAATAGTACAGAAATAACATTAAGTTATCACAAATTATCCACATTATTTTGGTTGTCACTGCATTTTGTAGGATGAATAACTAATCTGTACAAATAGAAATTGCTTCAATGTAAATCCTTAAAAATTCCTGGTATAGTAGCTAGAATGTTGGACTAAATCCATTCTAAATCGATGATCTGATGACTCATTTTTGAAAGACAGTAGATTTAAAAAGCAGCCATGAGGTTTGTCCTGAGCTCTTTGCATCTTAGTGACAGAAGACTCTGTGAGTGGAAGCCTAGGTGGTTATGTTACCAGGGTAGCGTCAGCCTCCTGCTGCTGCTGCCAGCAGTAAATATCAGTAGGATTTAGGGTAGAACTATCAATCCATTTAAAATTGATTCATAGCCTCAGCTCTGTAGTGGGAACACCGGAGCAAGGTCTAGAGATAAATCAGTGTAAGATCAATAGGCCCCTGTGGAATCATGTCTCAGTGCATCTGCACCCAGCCAGTTCAGGGACCTTTTATCTTAGATCCTCTTGTGGCAACTTTAGTTTAGATAGAATCCCAAAGCACCCATTTTTCCCCTGGTTGGTTAGTATAGAAGACAGAAGAAAAATTGGGAATTTTGGAAAATTGGCTCTTGAAAACTTAAAATACAGAAATATGCTTCTTTCTTCTTTTAAAAACTGCCAAAGGCTTATGTAGTTTCATCACTGTTGGTTTTCGTTGATGTTAAAATCATGTCTTAGTTTCCTAATTTAATAATCCCTTTGCCGTTGGTGATATATCATCTCTATTTAAAATGGCATTTAAGAAATGAATAAATTTAGAAAGAGAAAAAGCATTACTGTTAGAAAGCTGTTGATTCATGGGTCTTTCAAGATGTTGACTAAGGACTGCCAAAGGCCCTGATGATTGATGAAAGGGGGAAGAATTCAGCGGCATTCAAGGAGATGATAAGAGGAAGACGATGCTACACATTTCATTATTTAACATGATCTGATCCACTGCGTAATGCATGGAACAGAGGAGAAAATAAATGAGATTTACCATTCCAGAGTAGGTGATTCCAGTAATAATGAAGTATTGATGCCATCTACTCTTAAATCAACAAACATTTCCTAGGGGTCTACACATGCCAGGCACCTGTGCTAAGTGTTGGGGATACAAAGAAAGGCCAAAAAACTAAATCAAACCAAAATGAAAAATCAAAACCAAAACCAAACCAAACAATAACAACAAAAACCCAACCCGATCCTTTCTGTCAAGGAGCTACAGCCTTGTGAGTGTGAAAGACACTAATACCTAGCTGTCTATATTATAGGTCTTGTAAACTGTTTTTGTCCCAATTTTATTTATGATTAGTACTGGTATTAGTAAATGGTCTAATTACTTGTATTGATAACATCATTCTCTGTTATTGGCACCTATTTTACTTACTAAGTTGAGAGGTGGGGATAGGGTCTCTACCAAATACAAGTCAGTGTCTTAGAGAGTTAATTAAGAACACTGAGAAGTTAAATGACTTGCCCAGGGTCTCACAGCCAGTATGGCTCAGAGGTTTAACTTGAAACTTCCTGACTCTGAGGGCAGCTTTTTATCTACTCTATCATGCTATCTCTTGTTAACAGTTATCCTTTTGATTTGCTAGAACATCATATGGGGGTAAAAAAAAAGGGGGTTTACAAAATCTTTTGCACAAACGATCCTATATGACTTCTCATAATACCTCTATGAGGTAGGTGGTGCAAATATTATCTTCCCCATTTTACAGATTAGGAAACTGAGGTTCAGAGAGAGGCAATTGAGCCAAAGTCACTTAAACAGTAAGTGGTAGAACTCATACTTTTAAACTTCAAATTGGATACTGCTCCTGACATTTCTGTTCCAAGAAAGGCTTCTTGGGACAACCCAGCACGAGGGAGTAGTAAAGATGGTTGCGGGAGCTGTTTAATGTCATTCTATGATGGATCCTAAGAAAGAAGTAGATAGGCATCAGACTGGAAAAACTGGAGATCTTCTGAGTTCTTCCTGAACCACTTCTTCACATTGGGGCTTCATTAATGTGTTAACATCAGATACACTCCCATGCTGTAGGGTGAAGTGCCCCCTCCCAGGATTTAGTGACAATTCCAAAAGGGCTCTACCAAAAACTTGCTTTTGCAGTGTCTATGAAAAAGATTTCTTGATGTATTTCAAGGGATCATAGGATTTAGAATTAGAAGGTACTGTGTTCCAATTTTCTCTTTCTTCTCATTTTTATTTTAAAGAAAAATAATCTAAAAGTGTGTTTTCTGCGGTCATATTTTCAGCATTTTAATTTTACTAGTAGAAGCATATGGGGAATTTTCCCAGTTTGCATGCCTTGCATCTGTTCCTTTCGTCTTCTGTCTCCTTCCTTTTTCCTCCTCCATTCCCTCTATGTCTCATCCTCTCCCACTTATTTCCTTGTGCCTCCTTCTTTGTCACTCCACTCTCTATATTCTCCTGCTATTTCTTTCTCTCTCTCTAAGCTTTTCTCTCTTCTCTTCTCAAATTTCTTATCTTCATCTTCCTCCCTTTGGTATCATCCTACTTCTGAAGTATTGTGTTCGGTTCTGGGTGCCATTAGTTTAAGTTGAAGAATGTCCATCTTGGGTGGTGAAAGATTTTGAGTCCATGTCATAAAATCATCAACTGAAGGAATCTTGTTTAATCTGGAAAAAGAGGAGACTCAGGGGAATAGGATAGCAAACTTCAAGTATTTAAGGATTGTCATATGTTTTTTGTTTTGTTTTGTTTTGTTTTGGTTGGGTAATGGGGGTTAAGTTAAGCCCAGGGTCACACAGCTAATAAGTGTTATGTGTGAACTCAGGTCCTCCTGAATCCAGGGCCGGTGCTCTATCCACTGTGCCACCTTGCTGCCCCCTAAGTATTGTCATAGGGAAGAGAATTAAGACTTGCTTTTTTTTGGCTCTAGGAGGCAGAAATAGGAGTAACAGGCAGAAGTAGGAGTAACAGGTAGAAATAGAAAAAAAGAGGCAAATTGAGGCTTGATCTTAGGAAAAAATTCCTACCAATCAGTTCTGTCCAAAGTAGAGTGGATTGCCTTAAGAGGTGGAGGTCTTCCCTTCACTGGAGGTCTTCATGCAGAGCTTAGATGACCACTTCATGGTCAATATGAAGTGGACCCTTGTGCTAAGCCCTGGAGATATAAAGAAAAGCCCAAAGAGTCCCTACCCTCAAGGAACTCTCCTTCTAACTGGTATGTTACTCATTGGGTATCTTATAGTGGGGACTCCTTTTGTTTAGGAATTGGGCCAGGCGACTGCTAAGGTTCCTTCGAACTCAATTTCTGATTCTGTTTCTTTCCTTTCTTTGAAATCTCTTGTCTATCTCATTTCTCTGCTTTTCTCCATGCCTTAGTGCTTACCCTCTGCAATCTTTGCTGCACTCTTACTGGGGAGAAGAGTCTCTTATATGTTGTCTAGTCCAACTCCCTCATTTTGCAGATGATAAAACTGAGGCCTGGAAAAGGGAAGTGCCATGCCGCACAGGATCACACAGATTGTGACAGACCAGGAATTTGAACCCAGCTCTTCTGACACCAAAATCAAATCCAATTCAATAAACACTTAACAACAACAGCAGCAACAATATTTATATTGTACTCATTATGTGCCAGGCACTGTGCTAAGCACTTTACAATTATTATTATCCCATTTGATCATTATCTCATTTGTTGACCTCCTACCATGTGCAAGGTACTTTGCTAGGCACTGGGATACAAAGATAAAAATAAAACAGTTCCTGGCCTCAAGGAGTTTACATTCTACAGAATTTCACCATACCATTCCACAACCAAAAGCAGTGCTGCTCTGAAGTCTCAATTGCTGGGTTTTGAGGACATTAGTTTTTCTTTTTTCTTTTTTCGTTTCTTATTCTCAGTTGTGGCTGATTACTGCTATTGTTTAGTTTGTTTCTCTTATTAACTGAGGTTCTGTAAGCTGGTTCCCTCTGATGTCCTTTCTATTCATGAATAATTCTTTGCACATTTGAAGATGTGGCCATGCTGGGGTTCTGATGCCTCTCTTAAGAGTGTGTTCTCCCTATTGAGGATGATACAGCAGAAGTCAGACGTTTGGGATGGCTATAAAATATGGATCTTATGGAGTAAAACCAGTGGCCATATGCTTTCCCCCTTCCTCCTTTTCTTTCATAGCCTCTCGTGTGTAGGTTATAGGCACTGAAGATTTAAGGGCTATTGGTCCATGGCATTTTACAAGCTATTTCACTTGTTAAAATTTTCTGATTAGCAAACTTTCCTTTTAAATGTTGATTTTTTTTTAAAGTGAGTATCAGGTGATTCTAAGGCTTAAAATGCCCCTTAGGAGCTTTCCACATCAGCACAGTAGATGCTAGGGCTATTTTTTAGTTATTTTGTGGGCTTCAAATAAATAGCTTCTCACAACAATTTCCTTAAATTCATACTGCCTCTTTAAAAGCTGACCATTGAGCTCAGTGGTAACTCCCACCCTCCAAATATGAAACCCTCAGTCTTCTTGGAGGGAGACTCTGGGCCAAAAATAATAAGATGTGGATTTATAAAGACTTGTTCTGATATAAAAAGCCATTTACAAAATTTCAGCAAACACAGCCCCTTTCATTTGCAAAGCATAACTTGGCTAAAATGCTCCTGAGAATCCAATCTCCTGAATCAGTATCCAGAGACATAGCACAATGCTGCCCTCCAGCGCTGGTATAGAAAACGACATGAACATTTGTTTGGTAATAGCATTTCTTTAAAGACTATGTCTAGCTAGGATACTTTATAATCATTAAGTTATTGCTCTTATGGATGTCCCCATAAGGAGCGCAAGAGGAGAGCAAGTGGACATTAGCCAATGATGCAGCTCTCCTACTACCCTGGGACAGGTTAAAAAATTGTATGTCATTTGTAAATTATCCATCCAGGAAGATAGTCCCTGGGAATGACTAACACTTTGGGGGATGAGGCATCCTGGGATGTGCAGTCTTGGCCAGTACTATGAAAAAGTAGCACCCTCTTCTCCCTTTTATGTGCTTTGACATTATTAATGTACTCAAAGGATCATAGCTCCAGGGCTGGAAATGACCTTTCTCACCATTCTGCCTTATTTACTCCTCAGGAATGGCATGAAACTGGAAAAAAAATGACTCAGAGGAGCTTCTCTGACCAAAACCACCCAACAAATTAATTGTAGCTTTGAGAACAAATGCCGAGGGTTTACCAATACTTTACCACCAGAACTAGACAATATGACAAAGCTGATTTCTCCTGAGCCATTCTCATGAGCAAGAAGGCAAAATCTCTAGGGAAGTTTGTTGAAGCTGGTCACTGACTTTCATGCTTGAGGGGGATCAGCTGGCAGAGATCTCAGTCAAAGTCATCTTCCTCATTCTACAGATAGGAAACGAAGGTCCAGAAAAGTCAAATGACTTCCCCAAGATCACAG